TCATGTCCTGAGGGTGGACACAAGCCATGACTCAGAGTCAGCACTCAGGAAAAGTGCATTATCCAGTTTCCCATTTCCCTCCTGTGGGTGGAGCTCTCAGAATCCAGCATGCTGCCTGCCTTGATAAGTAAAGTTTTATTGGAGCATAAGTCACACCCATTTATTCATGTACTGTCTGTGGTTGCTTTCCTCCACAAGAACAGAGTTGAGTAGCTGTGTCTGCTCATTTGACAGGCAGAGCCTGATCTAAAGCAAACCAACACGAGACGGGCTGGTAGCACTGAAGTCATTAGAGCCCAGAAGCCTGAGGAGTGTGGGGAGGCAGAAGGGCCAGAACACAGAAGGGGCTGGTGATGGCTGCAGCCAGGGCTGTGCCACAGAGTCACCCAACAAACACTGTGATCACAGGCAGAAGAATCCAGTTCCCATGGCCCACGACCAGCAGGAAAACAGTGACGTTGACCGCTTTCACCTCCCAACCACTGATATCCTGCTAGGTCCTTCCACTGGCCAAACCCAACCAGATGCCACAAACCCAGAGATCCTTTTGACAAGATCCCTGTGCTGCCTCCTCCAGGGGTGCACAGCCAGGAACAGGGGAAGGGGTGCATCTGGAGGAGAGGGGCAACTATCCAGCACGTCCCACAGCTACAAAAGCACCTCAATATAAAGCAGACTTTCAAAGACCTGTGCTGATTGGTCTAATTAATGTGTGCTGTGGAAGGCCTAATTACTCTAATGATTTGCATGTAAACTGTCAAGAGGATGAAGGATGAACTGAAAATTCTAATTGGGGCTTTTCCTGCTTCTGGAAGTCCATCAACCAGCCCTGCTGTCACAGCTGAGGATCACGCATGACCAACATTTTGTTTTCCTTTCAGTGGGGGAGAAAGGAATGGGGACACCAGGAAGGAATTCATCTTTCATAAGAGGAACTGCTACTCCTCTCTGTGCTTAAAAGCAAAAGACATCCCCCCCCCAAATTAAAAGAGAATGTTTGCCATTGAAAGTGAGCTGGTAAAAAAAAAGATAATGCACTCCCCAGCCTTCTCAGCAGTTATGTTATCACAGCGACACGTGTCAAATAGCTGCACAGGAAGCCGGGGAGTGATCCCTGCACATAAAAAAGTGCAGTGTGAAATGCGGACTTTTTCTGATCAAAAATCATCCTGAGGAGAGCTGAACAGCTTTGGGTCAAGGGACAATGTCTAGGGTGATTTTGTGGTTTTTAGAGAGAAGACTACTGGCGGGGACGTGCCACTGCTCACACACTCCCACTGGGCAGGTGCACTTGCAGACACTTGTCTTGCTCTCTGGTCTTTACCCCCCACATTGAAACAAATTTCTCATTTCAGTTTCACTTACCTGTCACTTTCTTCTTAAAAGGGATGATTTATCAAGTAAAATAATCACCAACATCAAAGAATAGTTCAGCATTACCAGAGTGTACACACACACACACACACACACACACACACACACACACTCACTTACTCACACCCTCCCTTGTATCATGCTCTGAAAGCAGAATTGTGACTAAGAACCACAAACTCGCTCCCCCACTAGAGGTTTGTTTTAGAATCTGAGCATGAGTCTCTGCACTCGGTGGTTCCTCCAGCCTAAAAATGGTAACTTGCTGCAAGGGAGCTATAATTTCTACTCCACACCTCATGATTTAATTGAAAATAGATGTAAAATAAGGAGTGTAATGAAGTTAATAGCACCTTACTCTCACAGTCCATTAGGAGGAATTTTTTCCTGCGAAGTGAAAACTGGAAATTACCTCTGGGCCTTCTCACTGTCCAACACACCGGTCACCATGACACTCGGGGGGATTCAGGGCTGAAGGATGTAGTGTTTCTCTTTCCTCTGGTCAGTTTTCTAAAAGGACCTCTCCTCTTACTGGGGTATCATACACACAATGAGAGATAAAGGCCTGAAGAAACAGGCAGCAAACTGCCCTTCTACTCCTGGTTGTATCCTAGTTGTAGAGTCTCAGAAAAAGTATTGAACTTTGCTGGGTGTTAACTACTCCTTCGGCAAAGTGAGAGGACTAGATAAACCATTCCCAATTTAGTCTCTCTCACGTTCATGTCTTACTCCCTCTCTCCATGTCTCTTTCTTTCTCTCTTTCCTCCTTTCATCCCTTTATCCTTTCATCTCTCTCTAAATATAAAAAATTATTAAAATATCATAAAATAAACATGTCTTGGGAATTATATGATGTGTTTCCCCCTTTTCTCTCTCTTATATTTTCCAGCCACACTTCCCTAGAATCATCCCTGTGTGTTCCTTGCCTAGTTATTTGTATGATTTCAGCATGGATCCTAAAGAAGGGTCATATCTTAGATTCACATCCTTTATAGCTCAGAGAATTTTTTTTTTTTGTCGTGTGTGTGTGTGTGTGTGTGTGTGTGTGTGTGTGTGTTTAATAATCCTCACCCACGGATATTTTTCCTATTGATTTCTAGAGAGTGGAAGGGAGGGAGAAAATATAGAGATGTGAGAGAGATACATCAATCGGTTGCTCCAGGGCCAGGGACCAAGGACCAAAGCTACAACTCAAACATGAGCCCTTGACTGGGAATCAAACCCTAACCCTTCCCTGTATTGGTCAATTTTCTAACCAGTGAGCAACATCGGTCAGGGATACAGGCCAGTCAGTTTTGATCTCAACCCCTCCTACGTCTTCCTGACCGTCACAATACATTTCATCTAAGGGACATTCTGTGGGCCTCATGCTCAAGGAAACAAGTCGAAAAGAATATTATTGCTGTCATTGTCCCAGCAGCAGTATCTTATATGAGGAAGGAACACAGCATTAAAACAGAGGGGGAAGTTACAGTCTCCCAGCATAACACTGAATAGCAGGCAAGCACCCCATGCATTGGACCATGTAGCCACAGATGACCACATCCTTTTTCAGGATTTTCCCATATACACGTGCAGATGTAACAAACTGCCTCTAGGAAACAAGAAAGGCATTTCACTAGAGTAAAAACTCTCCCAAGCATCATTTAGGGAGATTGAACAGGATTAAGTTTCTTAGGTGGTCCAGGCAACAAGTTCTCATTTTCACAGTGTTCTTTTATGCTGTGAGTCAAAACACAGATTCATTGCCCCCACAAGACTTGGGGTAGCGCCATATGCCAACGGGAACACAAGCTTAGTTTGGGGCTTCCCGCTAGCACTGGTAATGTGACAGGCTCTGATTTATGCTCACAGTCCAACCTATCACTGAGCAAAATATAAATGTGGCCAAAGATTTCATTTAGACTATTTCCTCTTTCTCTGATGTTCAGGGACCCAATCCTTCCTGCTAATCCACTTCCCCTTCCCTGCTTACCCCAACCCAGCCCTGCATTCCAGTTCTCTATATTCGGTCCCCTCTTGTTTACCAATTCCCCCCACAAAACTCTGCTCATCTGATGACACCTGGGACTGATCCAAGATCTTTACTAGTAAGTGCTACTATGAGTTACTGAGAGACAATAACTTAGCATGTCTGCTTTGACAGGGACATTGCATATTCTCTATGGAAGAATTTGGGCTTTGGGGACTAACCAACAAGGATGATATTTTGGTATTAAGAGAATCTTTCCTGTGCTGCTCATATCACACTATACGAGCATCTCTGTCCCTGCGTGGGCATAAGACAGACCCAGCGGCAGCCTGATATGAAAGAAGTGTTTTCTTTGTCAAAGGAAAGGCTGAGAAATTATCTTTTTATCCTAATTCCCCATATGTTGCAAAAGGAATAAATATAAACACACACACACACACACACACACATACACACACACACATACACACACACACACACACACACACACACACACACACACATGCTCGTGCGCACACACAATTTTCACTATATTCTACCTAGAGATAGAAGACACTAGAGATGAGGAGAACACATAACCTTTGGGAGTTGAATTTAAAATACTATCGATATTAATTTTTTTTTAGCCTCTAAAGGTCTGCTGCTCAGTGCACAGCCCTCAGAGATGCAGAAGTTGCATTGAATAACAAAAAAAAAACTAGACCCAAAAGTTCTTCAATCCCCAAACACATCTGTGAAAAGTTTGTGATATGAAACCTCAGCAGTTATGGGGTAAACAGCTAATTTGTACAATGACAGAGTAAAATCTACAGCAGCAGAGTTGGAGAAGTGCAACTGATAAATCAATTCAACCAGTCCTTTATGGGAAACCTTCTCTGATCCAAAGTCCGGGCCAGCTGCTGGGAGTATACAATCAATAAAGCACATCCCTGTACAATAAGCAAATGAAGGAACCAAGCTAGCTTCTATTTCAGTACATGATCAAAAGGGAAAAGAGTGGCTTGCCAGCTTTGATTTCTTGCCCTGTTCATATGCATTCTGTAATAGAAGAGATGACATTTTAGCTCAAAGACGAAAGAGTGGCCAACCTTCAGAAATCAGGGACTTAGTCTATTTCCTTGAACTAACCAGATTCTCATACACAAAAAAAAACACAACCATATGGTTAAGAACGATGCTCATCAGCATTAAAACATTTAGAAGAAAGTCTGTGGACAATTAAACTCATTTACATACCTAAGAAGTTCTCAGAGTTTCTTCGCTCTTCAATATTGGAGCTCTATTGAATTCTTGTTCCACTTATCCCAATGTTAAGATAAATGGGTGATGGAACGACTATATATAGGCTCAGCATTTGGCATCAGTTGTACAGTAGTGTTTTTGTATAGGTTAAAGTCTACTTCGGCTGGAATTAATGTAATTATATATAATGTTGACAGATTATGACATTTGCCTATTAAGACACTATACAAACATTCCAATAATTTACAGGCTTTTGACTCAGTAAAAAATAAATGAAACAAAATCCCAAGGGATATTGCTAATGGGGTAACTGAAATAGAGGTTTCAAAAGCACAGGGTTCAGGAAATAACAGTCAAAGAATAATGCATTTTCAGCCAAAACATATAGAGTGGTAAATGAATATTTAGTACTTACCACAAGACTGCTGTCTAGAGACAGCCTTTTTCCAAAGTCCCTTTTCTCAAGCTGTCTCTTTCCCTCCATGGGTGAAGTTATTTATTTTCCTTTGTGATTTATAAGAATTCCCCCTCTGTTTCCAGGGTCACTGCAAAAAGTGAACATGTTTTTCACTATTCACGTGAACAGTGTTTAAACCCTTGTTTTTTAACTTTCTAACCAGGAACAAGTATTGGAGCCAAAAATATCCAGACCCAAATAATAAGTATAGAACTGGGCTCTCTCAACGTCCAAGACCTCTCCTGTTGCAAATGTCAGAGTCATCTTTATGGAGGCCCCTGTGTTTTTATAGGTTTTGCTCATGGTGTTGGAGAATGGGTTTGCAGGTCGAATCAGCAGACTGTGGAAAAAAGCAAACAGTCCATTTCATGCCACACTTGCTCCTCACCCACCCTCTCTCTATCAGCTGGCACCATTCTGCTTCTGTGCACATAGATGCTGCCTGCAAATTCCATGAGATCAAACTGGCAAAACCCAGTGTTGGAAAACTGAAATATGAACATTTAAAAATATTTAATTTAAACATATTTGAGGAACATTATAAGATACATGTCCTTTGGGACAAGTTGATTTAGAAAGTTGATGACATCATTATTGCCAATGAGTATTTATTTGAACACCCACTGCATTCCACCATATGAGATATGGTTCATCCCTTCACTCCACTGAGCTTGCTTGTTCTAGAATTATTAAGAATTCTAGTTAGTAAGAATGCGTTGTATGTATTAAGCACAAGCTCCCAGGTTGCACAGAGATGGAAAAGGCTTGACCTAAGAGAAATGAGTTTGAGCCTAAGCTTTCCTTCCCATTAGCCAAGTGACTTTGAACAAGTCATTGAGCCTCTAAAAATCCAAGTTTCTCAACTGAAATCAAATGAAGTATGTAAAAAATAGTTTAAAGGTAATGACTTACAACTTGCCCATATGTCAGTTATAATTATACAGATACATTAAAAACTGGTTAACCTTAAATACTAGTTGACATAATTTAATGTTTTTGATGATTCAGAAGGCACTTTGAGATATAGAAATGCTCTTAATCCACATAAAATGCTCCTAATCTGCACAAATCCATTGTCCTGCTGATATTGAAGAGCTGAAGTTTGTAAAATGCTATACCAATTACTTCTCATAAAATTGAAAATAAATATTTTTCACGACTCTCTCAACTGCTCTAACTCTGAAGAGGATGTAAGGGATTCCCCTTCACAGGCCACACGCAGCATATGGCCCCTTTTTCTTGGTTTCTTCCACCAGGAGACAGTTGTGGCCCAGACAGAGTCTGCCCAAATTATAGTTAATTGCAGGAAGCTGATGGACCCCTTTTCCAGCCCTAGCTCCATTCTCCATCTGAGTCATTCTCTCTCTCATTTTTCAGAAACACTAATTTCAATTCATTACTGGTCCACTCAGAAACTCCTAGGAGTTCATTCTGAATTCAGGATAAAATCCAAATTTTTCAACATCATGTTCAAGGTCTACTTCCTGCCAACTAGTCTTCGCAATCCCAAACACACTAGGCACATTCCTGAGACCATGCTTTTGATCATACCTCTCACCTCCATCTGGTCTATCCCTCCCCTTGCTCCAATGCCTGGCTCAGCTCCCATCTCCTTCACAATACCTTCCTAGTCACTCCATTTGGCAATGAGTTCTTTCTCTCCCAAGTTTCATACAAGTCCTCAGTGCCTTACCTTATTAATCACCATCATCACCTAGGGTAATTCTTTCAATATAGTAAGTTCTTAATAGTTGCTTTTGGTAGAGCCTAATAGTTAAAAACAAACTCTCTGAAGCATTTTTTTTTCAGAACTAAGTTAGCTCCACACTATTACTATAGACAAAACTATAGTAATTACTATAGACAAAACTATAGTAATCCCTAACAAATTTCAGATGACAACTAGTCATCTGAAATTGACTACTAGTCATCTGAAATTTGTTAGGGAATTTACTTCCCACTTTCAACTGTTCCACCCACTTTGCAGCCCCTTCCTCCTCTCAGTGATTGGCTGTACTGGTAGCTCAGAATACTCTCTGTAATAATGAATCCAACTAGAGAGACTAATCAGACACTGAGATTTCCCTCTGAATCAAAAGCATGCCCTCCTAAGTCTTAATCCAAAGAGCCATGGGGTTTGATGAGTCACAAAAGATAATCCTTTGACATTTAGTGCATATTTCTTGACTACCAGGGAGGACTCGTTGATGACACAGCCATGTCTAAGACAGACTAGGTTCCTGACATTCTAATGGGAGGATATAGACAATAAAGAAGCAAACAAACAACTCCAAATGGTGATAGGTACCTGCTCTGAAGGCAATACTCCCCAGTAGGTGGTGTAACAGTTTCAAGCATGTGGAAGAGGAGAATAGTTTAAATAGAATGGTAAAGGTGGGAGCCAGCCATGTAAAAACACGTGTCCAGAGCATGCCAGGTAGAGAAGTCAGTCTTTCTGCTGGGAAAGATCTGGGAAAATTTTGTGTGTCCCTGAACAGGGAACAAATCAAGCTAGGACGAGAACGTGTGAGTGTGAGCAAAGTGCTGAGATGTAAGCAACAAAGGGCCCTGCAGGCCAAGGAAAATTGCTTGTTCTAAATACAATGTTGAAATCTGAGGGTCTTATTTTCTACTTTACTCTTTACTGGCTGATAACATTAAACAAATTATTTAACCTATTTAAGCTTCAGTTGATTCAGCTATAAAACAGCATCAATAGTAGGACCTTCATAGTAAGGTTGATATGATGATTAATGAGCTGGTCCATTTAAAGAGAAATGCCTGACAAACGATAGGTAAGCTTTAAATATTAAATATTGGCTATCTTTTCTGGTAAATGTGATGACTCATTAATGAGAAACTGGTGACTGGATTTTATGCTCCATAATAGGCTAATGAGGCTTCATTTTGGGAAACAGGGATCCTTTTGACATTCTCTATTAGCCTAGTCTACCAGGTGGATGGTAGATTGAACAGCTTAGCCTGGTCAATTTATTTTCATACTTTATGTTTTCAATTACAGAGGCAGAGATTGACATTCAAAATATTTATCAACTGACACAGCACAGGTATTGACCAATCAGAACGACACAGTCCAGGGCAACAGGCAATATAACTGTGGCCATGGGTCCTGGCCAAACTTCAGCCTAAGTGTATGTCCTAACCCCATCCCAAGAACTTAAAAATGTATGTGTTAAACCATTAAACAATCATGGAAACTATCAAAGTTATACAAAAGGATCAAAGCAACACCCCACCCCCAAAAAAGTGGCAACCAGGTTATGTCAACATGAAAAGGGAAGGGATCTAAAAAGGAAAAGCCAGGAAGGCTGACACACCTCACCTGCAGTTCCATCAGAGAAGAAGAGTACCCACATTTACATATGACCAGCAAGGACTAAGGTTCTAGCAGGCAAATGAGTAGGTCACACCACAACGACATTTTAGTATTACACTGGCCATTTGTTTCATCCAATAAATGATCTTGCTCAGAGACCACTGTCAAGCAACCTTCTAATTTTACTTGATTCCTATGTAGGTTAACTTATAGAGGAATGTGCTGACCAGCAAATGTATGTAAGCGATATTTTGTTAAGTTATGTTTTCAGTACAATTTGCAATTTGGTATATATTCATGAGTTAGGGATTTGCTTAGTATATTAATCAGCGTGTACTGCCATAACACAATACCACAGACAAGGTGGCTTAAACAATAGACATTTATTTTCTCACAGTTATGGGGGCCTGACATCCAAGTTCAAGGTGCCTGCAGGGCTGGTTTCTGATAAGGCTTTCTCCTTAGTTTGCATTTGCCTATTCTGTGTCTTCACATGGCCTTTTCTTTTGCATGCTTCTGCGGTATCTTCCTTTTCTTATAAGGACACCAGTCCTATTGAATAAGGCCCCCAACTCTTAAGATGTTACTTAACCTTAAATCTCCTCCTCAAAGGCTCTATCACCAGTCCTAGCCAAATGGTTCCTTGGTAGGAGTGTTATCCCTTACACCAGAAGCTTGTGGATTGGATCCCCAGCTGGGGAGGCAACTAACTGATCAATATTTCTCTCTCTTATCAATGATTCTCTCTCAAATCAGTAAAAAAAAAAAAAAAAAAAAAAAAAACCTATCCTATTGCCAAATATAGTTGTATTGGGGGTTAGGGCTTCCACATATGAGTTTTTTAGGGGTCCAGTCCAATCCATAAGAGTTAGTTTTGATCAGATTTCAAAGCCTGATTATATTAATATTTCAGTGTACTAATAATCAAATTTCTGAGTCTAAACTGCTATGAGAAAACTCTGGGTATCACTGGCTACTCCCAGGCTTTCTCCCTCTCCTCTGGCTCTTTCACTGTTTGATTTCTCTACCACCACCCTGCACCCCACCTGGCTGTTTTATATTCATTCATCTCTGTACTGCAAGTCAAGAGGTGCAAACTAAATTATTGAGATTTATTAGTCAGCTGGGCACACTGGATTCTGCCTACAGAAAGCAGTAAGAGATCAGAAGGCAACAGGTAGGAAGACACCATTCTGCTTCCAGCTCCTGATGCCCAGCCTCAACAGTAGTGCACTAGAGGCTCCAGCGACTTCCCTGGTGCTCCCAGGACTCAGTGTAAGAAAAGGCAGCCAGCCGCAGACTCCCTCCCCGGGGAAGGGGAAGTACCGTCTTCTGCTCACCAGCCCTTCCAACAGCTTCCTAACAAATCCATGCAGTGGCTCCCTCTCTGCCTGAAATATCCAGATCAGTTTCTCATTCCCTGGCTTGACAATTGAAGCACACCCCAGAGACAGACACCTTTGGACAGGCAGCAGCTTTCCCTGCACAACGCGTGGCTTCCTTCTTGTGAGCCTTCTGAAGTCACAGCACTGATTAAAGTCCTTCGACACTAAGATCCTGAAGAGCAGGGACAGGGTCTTATGGTCCATGTTCCCCTAGAGCCGGGGTCAGAAAACTGCGGCTCTTGAGCCATATGTGGCTCTTTGGCCCCTTGAGTGTGGCTCTTCCACAAAATACCATGGCCTGGGCG